AGTTTTCGAGCCTCTGACGAGGCCCGCTGTTCAGGATTCCGACGCGGTCCCCCTTCCCCCCGCGGACCCCGCATCAACGATGTGGTTCTCCCCACCCCGCGGACCTCGCACCGACGACGCGGTTCCTCCCTCCCCGCGGACTCCGCACCAACGACGCGGTTCCCCCGTCCCCGCGGCCGTGCCAGGCAGAGAATCATCTGAGCGGCTTCCCTGCGTCCCGCGGCCCCCCTGCCACTCGTCATCCCTCGGATCCCCTGAGTTAGAACTCGTCCTGATTACCTACTTACTTTCTTAATAACTTTTACTTAGTTTCTCTAATAACCGCATTGAAACTTGTATTCGAATTTCTCGCTCTGTCTTTTTCATTAATCAAAATAAAATCATTTAATAATCTCGACAATCTTTTGCTGCATCGTGAATGATACACATTTATCCTCGCGTAATTACGTTTAATTATATTTCAATATTAAAATTAGATTTTAATTATATTATTTAATAACTATTGCGCACGTAGAACGTAGCAGTGGTAACAATTAAAAACAATTTTTCGAACGAGAATCTGTAACGCGATCTAATTCTGGTCTTTCTTATGGTGTAAAATTATTTTTTTATAATCTTTTAAACGTCTCAGTAAATACATATTTTACTCTATTATTTAAATAATTGATAAAACATTTTAAATAGATTGAAATTTCAAATTATGGATTAAAATGAATTGATCTTCGTGGAAATAAATGCATTTCTATAAGGCAATCCATTTCAATCCATAGTTTAGAAAATTTCAATACATTTCAATTATAAAAAAAGTATTTTAATTCATTTCCGTTTACTGGGATGTTTTAGAATATTATAAGAATTAATTTTAGTTGGATAATGGTGGTCAGTAAGGAAAACGGAACACCAACGGTATATGTATATGATCACCGAGGTACATGTATATGAACATGTAAACTTTTCGATAATAAAATAGTGATTATTTGTTATCCTCGGTAAGTCGATACAGCCAAAATGATTGTAATGGCTGTGAGAAAATAAGTAAAGCATCGAATCGAATGTTTACGCGACTTATACTCTGTGACTGAATCTCAAGATATATTTTTATATTAGCAACGCCGTGCATTGATTAATAAAAGCAAAAAGGATTCACTGATAAAGTTTTAGGATACGATTGCGTAATAATGATCGGTGAGAAAAGCAACGCCCGAATATATATACACATGTATGTATCTCGATAATTATAGTCAAACTGAAAAATAGATAATTTTAGTCATATAATCTTTTTGTTCTTTAAAAATTATGAAATTAATAGCGTGATAAATAATAAATAAGAAAAATGAAGATTTGTATCAAGAGACACACGGTATAGTGTCTTGTATATGTACAGTTCAAATACCTACCGTTTTTTTTCTTTCGATACGAAGAGTAGATATAGCTTGCAAAATGCTTTGAAAAATTATGAAAAATGGTATAAATGCATAATCGTAAAAGGCGATAAAAAGGTATAAAGGATAACATCTTCCATATTTCTTTCTCCAATGCGTCCTCTCTCACGCTCGGCAGTCATCGTTTGTGAATTTTTAAACATCGGAGGCGATAGATTGATTTTAAAAATTGAAATTTTATTCATATTTTTATAAGCAAAAACACAACAAAATTCAAGTACACTTATTCCATACATGTTAACTTCAACTAAAATATAATTGTACATGACTCGCGTGTGTGTATAAGATGCAACGCTTTTAATGTCTTTATGAATAATCGGCGTACAATTCGGGCCGGACGCGTCCGACGAATGGAGGTCGATAATTTTCGTGAAAAGGAATCTAAACGAGTTCACATTCGAATACGCATGCACTGATAAGGATCATCATCGCGGGCGAGCCCTCCCGCACGCCTCTCTCTCTCTCTCGCTCATTCTCTCATTCTCTCTCTCTCTATCTTTCATCAATTTTTAACAAGTCTTAATCGTACCTTGATATCTCGCTACTGACTATTTATCAAGGAGAGTGCTTTGAATAGTTACAAAAACGGCCGCCACAGAATAAGGCACACAATTGATGCAACGCGCATATTTTTTTTTTTTCAATGTAACGATATATATTCGATACTTATTCTTTAATGTTACTTTGGTGTGAACGAACGTCCATAGAGGCTACGCCTGATCATCTTGGAAATGATTTATACATGCTTAAGGAAACTAGAGCTTTGCAGGAACAATGGTGTCTACGTATCGCCGCTGCGTGACATTAGGTTTCGCATTCCCTTCTTCCCTCCCTCCCAACCCTTCCTCCTTCCCCGTTGCCGTCATCACCAGCACTCTCTGTCTTATCGTCGCTATACATCATTCTCCTCTCCTCTCCTTATTATCATTAATTAATCGGTACTTATTATCGCTTCGCGTTCTGCTAATGCCTCGAATGACTTTTATTTACACACATCCCTCTGAGGTATGTCACGTGTTATGATATGGGATTACATGAGACGACACGCGAACGGCGTCGATCTAGCGATCGACCTACAGGCAATTATGCAAACCTAAGTAAGGTAACCACCTCGATCTAAGTATTCCTGGACACAAATCAACTAAAGTTCGTGGGCTATGTCGTAACAAGTGCAGCTTCTTTTTGTGTATATGCGTAAGTACACACATATGCATATCTTTTGCGGTGCGTTCATCCGATTCCGGTCGAAACGCGTCTATCGGAAAAAGAAAAGAAAAAAAAAAAAGAAAGACCTCACCTCACCTCTCCCTGATTTCTCGACAAACGTTTAGAGGCGAGATCGTTCGTGCGACTATTAAAGCGATCCGTGCCGTGGAATTCAAATTTGGGAGAAAAATTCGTCGTCCGCGTCCAGTTTCGGAGACGCGGGAGTTTAAAGGGCGTCGCGCGCAGCTCCCGTAAATTGCAACGACGAAGTTAAACGCGAGAGACACGATATCTTTTTATGTAGATTCAAATTCTGCGAATTAAGTATCAGGCGAGAGAAATCGATTCGGTGACCCCTGCTCTAAACGTCCGTCGATCACTGCAATACAGATCGTTACGTAACCGTCGTCTAAGATTTTGCTATATGTATACATCTCGTTATACTTCTCAATAACAGGCTAAAGGCTACGGCTCGCTGCCTTATCGTTCTGCCCGGGTTTCTTTTTCTCTCTTTTTCAGCTAGTTAGCTCCTATGAGAACGCGATATTACATCTACGCGATTTATTACGTAACGCTATATTTAAAAGCATATGTATTATTGAACGATTTTGCTCCGTCGGCACCTCCTCGGTTACGCGCTCTCCTCCCTTTCTCGTCCAGAGAAAGAAAGAGGAGACCTCACACACGGATGAATTACGCGGGACGCTGCGACAAATGCCGAGTTAAAAATTGCGAGCATTCAGAACTTTCCTAAGCAAAAAGGCCATTCAACGTGATTACGTGCAACAATAACTCCTAGTCTTTTTAACATTCGTGTCTTTTATATAGATTCTAAAAATAACGCTCTTGTCATTTCGACTGTGAGTGTATTACGAGATATCGTAGCGAGAATAAAAACAACAGTCTGGCATCTCCTATATGTGCCGCCAACACTCCTCCATATACGTGTAACTCTTCTCTCTCTCTCTCTCTCTCTCTCTCCCCTTTTCTCCCTCTTTTCATCGTTTCATCCAAAATAAAATTCGCGCTTCTTTTCCTGTCTTTTACATCCGGAGAAAGAAAAAAAAAAAAAAAAAACAAACGTACTACCTCTCGATAAGCTCGGTCCAGATAAAAGCTGAACGCCGAAACATTACGAATCTTTTGTCCTTGAATAATGACATTTACGGCAATGTATAATGACAACAATGGTAAAATGCTATCGTAGAGTGAACTGCTACAATGCATGCTCCCACACACATAAAATTTTGAAAGAGTTATATATATATACGATCACAAACGAACTCTTAAAACTATTTACAAAAATGTAATCGCGATCCGCGATGTTTTTGAGGTTTTTGTTAACGTTCAGTCCTTGAGCGTGTGTCACTGAACTCTTCGAAAGAATATTCGATTCGATTGAATCTCCGTACGACGGAGACGGGACATTTCGGGTTTTTTCTTTGTATCGTGAGGGGGAGGTGGGGGGGGGCGGGTGCGTACGACACGTACATATACGTGATATACCCGGAGAAAAAGCGCAACGTCCGTGGCCCTACTTCGAAAAGGATGGCCCTGACGCGATTACGTAATTATATATTATTATAATATAAGCCATGTTATAATAATATATTTTTTCGCTTGAGGAAAAAAAAAAGAGTTTGCGGTGTACCGTATATTCTTCCCGGTAATTATTGTATGTTGCAGCACACCGCTCTGCACGGTACCGGACCCTCGCTGTTCTGTCCGTACAACGGCCGTCGCTCGAACATCCTCGTGTCGAACGACAAGAACGGCGATTTCCCGTTGTGACAGCTCTCGTACATCTCGAACGCCTCGTCGACGGGTATCCTCTCGTCCATGATAACGTCCTGATTTTTGTCCGGCATGAAGATCGGGATCTCCTCGCCGCGGAAATACCCGATTGTCCTCTTCTCGGCCGGACATTCATTTGGCACTGTTCTCGATTTCGACGAGATCACCGACGTGCTCAACTCGCTCGACTCCTCCTCGGTGTTGGCAGTGTCCCGCGCGAGTCGGTAATACCTCTGCACGTGCTCCACGATGGCCCGCTCGAGCTCGGCGCTGTCGTCCTCCGCCGCCTCGCCCTCGCACAGAACCCCCGGACTCTGCAGCAGCATCCTCCGCGGGGTTATCACAGGTTCGACGGTCTCCGCCTCCCAGCACTCCAGCACGTCGGGCTCCTCTATGCTGACCGAGGACGCTATCATCGCGCTATTCTCGTTCTCGTCGTTATCGCTGCTGCTCCTAGTCTTCTCGCACGTCGTCTTCTCCACGTTCCTGTTAATCACGTCGACGTAAGTGGCGGTCCTCGCGACGGGATCACCGTGATTATCGTTGAACGGAATGACGGGTTCGTACGAGGACGTCGGTAGCAGTCTGCCGTCTTCCGAGACGATAATCTCCCCCTTCTCGAACGTCCGCACGCTCACCGTGCCGCCCTCGCTCACTTCCTTGCCCCTCAAATTATCTACACGTCGCATCTTGATGTCGATATTCTCAACGGGATTTTTATCAATTTTTCTCAACGTCTTCATGCGCCTTGCGTTAACTCTCTTCGAATTTATCCGAGAACTTAAAGCAACCCTCATACCCGCAACGCTATCCTCCTGAGTAAATTCGCAAACGTCACCAACATTATTCTTCGGCTTGTCGCTCGATCTCACGGCAGTGACAAAGTCCAACGAAACCAACGAGGAAACCAGCTGGCTCTGCGTCCTCTCATCGACATTCCTGTTTCGTTTGTCGTTTCTCTTTGCCGTCGTCTTCCTTTTAACAACCTTCGCGTCCCTCTTCCTCCTGCCGATCGATGTTGACGTCGAATCGGCTTCCATCTGATCGTTATTCCTAGCGTTATTGTTATTGTTGTTGGTCTTTGCGAATTCGCCGCAGCTAGCCGTGCGCGACAACGATGTGACGTTGTCGACGCCGCTATTAGCAGATAGTGCAGGCATGGGGTTGCCTTGCAAGTTTTTTGGCGGCTCTCCATCCATTTCTTCATCATCGTCCTCGTCCGTCTCGCTCTCCGAGGTCGACGCCGACGTTACGAAAAGATCGGGCGAGTTGGCGCGACGCAGCCACTCTTTCACCGCGGCCGTGATGGGATACTTCTTCGTCAGCCGAGTCTGGCTCTCGAATCCGGAGTCCTCGTTCGAGCCTTCGATCGTGTCCCGGCTCGCCGCTTTGACCGTGTCCTCAGTACGCACCTCCGACGCGTCTATCTCGTTCGCCACTTTCCGTTCCGTCTCGCTCAGCTTATCGTTCGCAATACTGCACTTGCAATCCGCGTCCGACAGCTCGACAGCTTCGAATTGTTGCACGAGCGTCCTGTTCTCCGCATCCAGATGCGCGACGTCATTCAAGTCCGGCCCGGGCGTGGACTCTCTCACGAATTTCAGACCCTTCTTGTTGTACTTCCTGGGCAATCCAAGTGACGCCGCTCGCGTAACCGATGAATTGTTGCAGTATCGTAATCGTTGAACCTCCTCTTTTTCGTTGGCGTTCATCGTTGTTGAATCGGAGCAGCCATTATCCTGAGGACTTACCGATCTCGATTCCGACGTCTTCTCCGTTAAGTCGGCAAGTAATTCGTGGTTCGCATCGCCATTAGTTAAACCTTCTTCAGGGCATCTGACGCGATCACTCAATGTACTTGTACTAACGTCGTTACTATTACTTTCGAATGGCTCACGCTTCGCATTGGCACTGGTCGAATCGCCATCGTTCTCCAAAGTAGCATTATCAGTTCTGGAGGGCGCTTCGTGTTCAGTCGGAGCGGTGCTCCTTATCTCCGTAGTTTCGTTCGTTATTATCGCTTCCACATTCGCGACTAGACGACTCGCTTGACCGTTAATTTCTGCGTTCCAGTTTCTCGGCGCGTGTCCAACCGCCGGCGATTGAATGCCGTCCAAAGACGTCTCCCTAACGGCTTGCTCTGAATTACGGATTGTCGCCTCTTCCTGGTTCGTTAGACTTTGAGCAGTTGACGAATCACACGTCTCGGTCTCGCGACTGGCGGCGGATTCCGTTTCGACGTAGGATGACACATCCGGCGCGTCGTTGATAGACGACGTGACTTCTTCGGTCACGGTGGCGACGGCGGATGTCGAAACAGGATCAGAGAGAATTCGCGATTGCGGGACCGACCGCAATTGAAATTCCTGGCACTCGGGATTGAGCGGTCGATTCGCGGCCGTCGTCGTTGTAGTCGCGGTCGAGGTCGGACATTCTGACCAGGGTAGTCGGGAAGACGATACATCATTATCACATTCGGAACTGTATTCCCCTTCCTCCTCATCTTCGGTGTTACCCTGAATTTAATCAAAATTTAGAACCAAGTTAGAATTTAACAAAGTTAGAATAGATTAGAATTTCGATGAAAAATTAGATAGATTAGAATTTCGTATTGAAATTGTTACAACAAAAATAGTTACAAGCTACGATTTATTTAATCATTTTATATGTGTTTTTATTACTTCTTTCACAAGAACAGTTTTAAAGCTTTAGTAGCATTTATCTTTATTTATTTGCATTAGATAAAAATTATCGGCTTACCAAAGTAGGTCTTCTCTGTTTTCTTTTCTTTCTCTTCTTTCTTCGCTTGGCGCACGCCATTGTCATAGCTGTTACGTCCATAGTTCTCACCAATGGCCCGCTCTGGATGGTAACACCTTGGACAAAAAAATCGTCGCGCGTTATCGATCTGTCGGAAGATACGGAGATACCGGTCAACGAATAATAGTTTCAGTGCGACATTTGGCGATTCGACGAGCGATTCAATTATGATTCAGAGGAGCGTAAAAATGAGCGGCTAGACGACGTGCCGGAGTTGCCACGAAAAGTGAATCTGGTTTTTCGCTGCCTCTCTCTCTCTCTCTCTTTGCGACTTCTCCGTGTATCGAAGCAAATGACACGCAAAGTGTTATTTTTAAACGAGCTCTATTTGAGAGATGTGGCAATGCGTTGCCGTTGCCAAACTCTCTCATCTCTCGCGACGACACTCGCCAAGACATATTTTCGACGTTAAATTGTGCCGGTGCGACCACGGGACTCGGTGATCTTCTTCGTGACGTCGGTCGCGAAGTCAATGGACTTCTCTCGCATGAGATAAGTATGCTTCATTACTGGTGCAGTATGTGAGATAACAATGAGACAATACGGCGTGTGTCGCAGCTGTGAAAAGCTGACATCGATTGACATTTATGCGAGTGACACATGTCGCTAGTCGAGAGCGACAAACAGACAAGTCGAGCGTGTACAGAGTTGGAACTTTAGGGACGATCGTGAAGAATCAACTACACATGCACCGGGCTGACTCTCGAAATGAAAAAAATAGCGCCGAGCGATCATCCTCGCGACACTGTTTCACGAGGCTGCGAAGGGCTCGAGGCTCCCCGTGTCCACGATCGTGTCTAAAGCGTGGTACCTTTTTTGCGAATTATTACCTTTTACCTTGAATGTGGTAGAGGCACGGCGGTAATAAAACAGCAATGATGCCGATGGACGGGACAGAAGTCATGAATCGGGGCATATCCCTTTTCCTTGGCCGCGCTTCCAATCGACACTGTTCTCGTTTAACATTAGAAATAGGTACAATCAAGCGTACTACGGCCAGTGTAGCGCAGTACGAGGAAGGAGCGGTCAATCAACATAGATTTAAATACAGTTCGATAATTGAGTATCGCTTTTTCTAGAATTCTTTTTATCTCGTGAAATTTGTGTTTATTTTTATACATCGCGATGACTCCGTATTGGCAATTTTAAGTTGTTGATTAAATTTTTAATCTCGAGTCGGCTTATCTTTTAGAAAATTATTTAGACATCTTATCTTAGCTTTTTTATTATAAACAATAAAGAATTAAAAGTTTGTTAAAAACTAAAACTTTTAAAGTTGCTAAGAAAATTGTGGATAACTACAAATAAGCTTCACTGTAATAAAAAACGAATTCCAATTCCAGTTTCTGTTCAACTCCAGTTTGTTTCAATTTTCACTACTACTCTAGTTTTTATTATTCACATTGGACAATGTCATTTGAATTAATTTCTTGAATTAATTAACAAATACTATAAATTCTAGTAAAATTATATTTTTTTCCTGATACGACTGCTATACATGATATATTGTATCTCGATCGTGCTAGCACTCCCTCCCCGAAATGCGCCTCTTTCTCTTAAACGCAAACGTGGGCAATCAACACACTTGTCCGTTGTTCCGTCCATCCGACTGTGAACAGAACGAAGGCTAACGAGCGCAAAAATGTAGGTCTGCTCATGCAAGTAGCAGAGAGCAAAATGCGGATTTTGCCAATTCGCATATTATAGCACGCGCACATTACTTGGGGGGAAACTCCGATCCTAAATCTATCTATCTCGTAACTAACCATTAACGTTGACCAAGGGAGGCCCGAACATGTAGTGGCCAGGATACATGTACGGCTGCGGCACGGCCGGCATCATATGCGACATGTGCACTGGCTCCTGCATCATTAGTGGATCCAGGTAGGGATCGACCGTCGTCATGCCATTCTCTATATGTTGCTGTCCCTCGAGATGCAGTGGTTGCTCCAGTGGTTGCTCTTCTGGGAGCTGCTCCTTCGCGGGGTGATGCTCCACGGTCGCGTTGTCCGCCTCCTCGGCTTGCTCCTCGATCTCCCCGGCGACACTACCGCTGCAGCTAGCGCTACCAGTGCCGCTCTCATTCCATACGCTGTTGGAAGCTTCCGCCGTCACTATCGTGCCGTTCTGCTCCTCCATTATCGCGACCGGTTCCGTACTTTGATTCTACAAAAAATTAAATAATTAATCAAATATGTATATATATTATAATTTAGAACTAATAAGAAGCAATCTTTTTCCACGCACAATCTCAGAGTCTCAATGTTATTTTATAGTAATAATAAACAATTTGAAATATTCCTGAAGTCGATTCCAAAACAGATACTTTATTCATTATCTAATTGTAATATTTTAATTTTTCTTAAATTCATAGATTTATTTCAATCAAACGCCTAATGGAAATACAACAAATTTTGGATTATCTCACCTGATAGTCCATTAAGCAATATGGCTGATTGGCAAGTTTAGGCACGAAGGCAGGATTAATCCATTCGATCGGTCTTAGAGGAACTGGACCGCAGGGTACAGTCGCTAGAACGCTTGGTCCAACTTGAGCAGGTACTGGTGCAGGTCCGACCAACATCACAGGATATTCATAGTAGTAGCCGCTCGCGTGATCGTAAAACGTTCCGTATCCTAGTTGCGCTCCTGGCTCTACCATAGGCGGATATTCTCCCGTTCCACTGTCCCTATCCAATAGTTGCTGGTCCTCTGTAGTTTCGCTGCCGTCTGCAAAGACGTTGTTATTTAAATATATATTCATTTATCAACAGACTAAGCATATTAACGATAAGACGATAAAAACTTTCTCCAAAGTGTTGTTACAGAAAAGACTAAAGAGACGCAGGCTTGTGCCTCGAGTAAATAAATGTAAGGTAGATACGAATAGACGCTTAAATTTTAGAACTTATGTTTCAGCAACAAATTTGTCTTTTTTATATTGGCAATTTTATAATTGGAATATTTTAACTTATTATATATAATTAGTTACAGAACTGAATGTATATATAAATTCATATATGAAATATTATTAAGAGGTTCAGATCGAATAAGGCATTTTTCTACTTATTGTTAGTTGTTATTTACATATTGATCTCGTGTCACTTATTGTTATTTTAATTTGACTTGATTGGCTAATTGGTGAATAAAGAAACAGGTAAATTTGCTGGCGTTTTAGCCTCGTTTTTCCATTCGCCATTAAAGCATTTAGCAATAAGTTTATTCTAAGATAATCACCTGCGGTGGAATGTGACGCCGACTGACTCTCCGTGGTCGACGGCGTGGCGCTGGTGCTCGCGTTTCCAGTCCAGGGCTTCTTGCGCGACAGGTAGCCCTTCTTAAAGAGGACGTCCTGCCGCGGCGTCGTGATCCTCGTGTACTCCTCCTCGTTGAAGATGATCTTGGGCTGCGACGGCGAGCCCGCGCTCTCGTCCCTTTGCGATCTCGAGCCGCTGCTGGCGTAGCCGCTCGTACTGCCGCCGCTGGTGCTGGTACCGGCCCGACGCGGCTTGTAGCCGCCCTGCTGTCCATTCCGTTCGAAATGTGTGTGCGCGTTCGTCTCTTTCTCCTGGCTCTTCACAAAGTCGGCCTTTCGCAAACCCTCCTCCTCGTCCTCTTCACCGGGTGGAGCTGTTACCGAAAACAATGTGATTAGAGACTTACACAAACTGCGTTATCTTCAATCAAGTTAATGAAATAAAAATTTTGCGATAAATAATAAATTGATGTACGCTGCAGAATATTCGGAGTTTTTAATAATTTGAATCTTAAAATATCAGAAAGGTATTTTAAAGATACCTAAATAATAATTTTGTAAAAAATTTTAATTATCGTAATATTTCGTCCAATCAAATTTGTAGGTACATTCGGACTTTTATATCATAATATATGATAATTGATAAGTGAATTCGAGTTCTAGGAAATCGATGCTTCGTGAGCATACGTACATGAATTAAATTGACAAAAAGTGAGCACGTAATGGACATGTAATTGCGGATTGTCAGTCGCGTTTAATAACGAGAGAAAATTGTTAGCTATTTCCATGACAGCTGGAACGACTACCTCGCACGTTGTGTTTAATGCAAGGACTGTATCCTTCTAAATGCATGAAGAAATTCACCGGTACCGCGCAGGAAGTGTTTATGAAATTGATCGTTGAGTAACGTACACACAACGATATTAAGAGTGTTTCAGTCAGACAAAAAAAAAAGACGATTATAAAGCAAATTCGTGCAAAATACGTACACGAATTATGTGTTTTATAATCGCCTCATCTAGAATTTTTTATACACAAACACAATTACTTCGACATGTATTGATAGAATCAGATGGATAAACTAGAAAATTTAAACTGGAAACTCTCGAAGCTGCAGCGAACTAATTTCGCATCTTACAGCTTCGAGACTATACTTCAGAAAGTGTATTTAAATTATTCAACTGATGACACGGACGAGAAGCGAATTGAATTATTTAATTCACGTACAAACTAGCGATAAGAGAAACTTCGCACCGTTTTCCTTCACCTTCCTCTATATTCCTCTGCTTAAATCTCAACGTTCTGTACATATATCGACTCTTAGTATATCGATTCAATGTATTATACAACAAGCTACGTTCTCCACGCGCAGTTAGTTGTTTTGAGGTGGTGTTTCCGTACCATCTTGGTACCTCGCTAAGAGCAGCACATGATTCGAGGAGCCGATCACGTGGGTGACTTTCTTCTGTCGACGCCACTGCATCGCACCCTTCTTTCGGCTGAGACGTTATCTTCCCCTCAGGCTTATCCTGATCGGCGTGCAAAACCACTCTTCTTTCGACCGAACGTTTGGAGTAGACCGAGAGATCGGTTCAGGAACGTTCACCGCGGTTATCGATGAAGGACGAAGGGACGACGGTAGCAAGTAATATGTACGAGTACAGGATTAATGCATCGCACACGATGCCTCGAGAACGACTGCGATCGGTACGGGGAAGGGGGTGCACCCGCCGGACGAGACGAGGAGCCCGTGAGGGATGTATTTGCGCGTACGGTAGCCGGGAGGACGCGTTGCCCATTGGCTGCCTCCACCGGTACCAGAATAGCATTCGGAATTAGAATAGAAAACGGGCTACCGAGCTCTGTCTTGGCGACTGATGTCTTCATGCGAGAGTGAAGAATCTCTCGACACCCGATTCCTTCATCTTCGGCCGACCATTCAAATTGATAATCGTAGAATTAATTCCTAATTTCCTATAGACATTAACACCGAAGAATCCATAAAGTAAATGTGAGAAACATTTGAATATCTAGTGTGTAATGGCAATATAAATAACTCTAAACGAAAAAGAATGAAGATATTAATTAGACTGTTGTTGGCATTAGTCAACGACAGTCTAATTGAAAATAATCTTGTTCATTCAATAACAATATTAATGAAACTGCTTTTTATTAAAAACAAGAGCATGGCGCGTTTGTTTTATTAATATTTTCATTGAATTAACAAGCTTATTTCCAATTAAATTATTGTTGACTAATGCTATTAATGCAATGCCGTTTTTTTTCCGTGGATAATCAAGATGAAATATGTATTATATTTCATTTCCGTAGAATTGAGAATGAAAATTTCATTAAGTCCGGTTTTTATCTCGCTCCTCTATTAAATTTCTGATTTAAATAAAATTACTGTCTTGAATCTTTTAAAAAAAGACTAAGAGCTGCTTCTCTCTAAATGGAGAATAAATGTGTTAAAAGGCTAATGACAGTTTACTTAATTTAAGAACTTCGAAATTGTACAAATCTTGATTTTATTTTTATCGCAGCTTTCAGTATAAGTAAATTGTGAAAGATCGGAGTAAAGTACACTTTATTTAATGGCACTTAAATACGTGTGCGTGATTTTATTATGGAGTATATCGCTCGTAAACTGAATTCGAGTCGTTGTCGATGAGCACAAAGTATCAAATGTATTCTCGCTTCAACGTTTACTGCATTATAAAAGTCGGAAGGCAAAATAATAGTGGTCGCTGCAAACCTAATCTGCCAGTTGATTTTCTAAGACGATCTTCTAAGATAATTTATCTAATTGTAAGACTAAGCAGCGAATTTTTTTCTGATTCGAGCAGGCGCGCGAACGCTCGCTGATTGTGAGAGCAATTATAGTACGACCACTAAATGGAGTTGCTAATTTTTGTCAGTGATGCGCGAAAAGGAAATCAGTGTCCCAGGAAGACGGGTATACTTGTGTTGGAGCCAAAAAATATTTTACGATTCATGCCGTTTCATCCAATGAATTATCATTATTTTATTGAATAATTGAATCATCGGATTTCGCAGATTTATAATCTTCGTCTCTAATTTCGTTTGTTTTCATTACTGCTTTCTTTTCCCAGTAAAGTTGTTATTTCTTTCACATTATCTTTTGATACATAATATGATACAGTCAACTGAATATAACACCTCCTAATTTGAATTCATGGTTATACGTGCAGGAAAAAAATGGGGAATAAAAAAAACCGATCGAGAAGAAGCGACTCGTCTGCGAATTAATCGCCTGCGAGAGAATTTATTTTTGAAACGTAATGCCAAGTGTCGTTCCAACGTGCGTGCATACGACATATCGCATTCTCGTTCCAGATTCCAACCTGCAGGGCTTGTGTTTCAAAACGTACATTAAAACATCCAGATATCGCGCGAGCGTATTAATGTCTAGATTGTACGGTTTCATTGATCGAGCGGGCTGATGCTCGTCCGAGTACATATACATTAAACGCGTATCCTTCTGTACTCCGAGTACCCGCTACCGCAGGAATTCGAGAGATAATGCTCGAAATATCTACAGTACACCCAGATGTCTCGGGACGCTGATAAGAAGAACCGCCGTTCGTTGGATTTGCGTCCTGCAAACATACTCGACCCTCGACATCGTGCATTCGCGGCGGGGCGCATCAAGCCGTATTATACATTACGAAAAATCGTCCTTGGCGTCGAAAATAATTTTTCCTTGAAATCTGTTTTGCTGCACGAAGGTGCCTTACATGTCGTATAATGTTACTCGCATTTACATCTAATCGTTCGTTTGAAAGAGTTCATCGCTTTATATTCGCGCGTTTCATGCGTTCGCAGAAAATTTCTGCGGAAAGGAATCGACGGCGATACGTTTTATGGCTAGTAAATTACAGTCTGAAGGCTGGAAAGCACAGAAACTAAATACCTGATTGCGAATCGTGTATGAGGAAATATTACGAGAGGTATTCTTAAGCTGGGTATAGCGAACGAACGCCGAACGAATGCGAATGGATATTCATATTCGTGCTTGTAAGTCGTTTGCTTCTTTTCTTGATTGCGCCAAATATAAGTACTCAATCAGATTCGGCGTTCGCTACTGTACACAGCAATTCAACTCGTGCGATATTGAATAAATAATAATACGAACGTGCGCATTCGATGTTCATATAGGTATACTCAGGTTTATATGAAAAATTGTTAATAAAATTACCCTGCAACAATTTATAGCGAGTTATAAATAAATCCATGCGGATCGCGAAGTGGATCCCTCTTTAACGAAAAAGTTTCACGAAGTATTATTTAAAGTCTTTTTAATTTTTAATATCGTACTTTATGTGATGGAATTTATAATTGTATATTTTTGTACAATGGAATTTCAAATTAAAAATTAAGTAAGTCTTGACATTGACTGAAGAATTATTCATGTGTTTTCTTTTCTTTTCAGAAGCCGCTCACTCTCAATTGTTAATTTATCAGAAAAACAACAAGCATCTCAATATTCTCAATCAGGAATTATTTATCTAATAATTTACCTAAAAAACTTGGGATCTTGAAACATTCCAATAGAGATAAAATACTCTGTATATAAACGCATTATTTTTTGTCAATATAGTAACTTCTTTGTACTATAATCTTTCTTTCTTATCACGTGTAAAAAAAACTTTCTTCATTCTATAACGTATATATTCTTGAGATTTAAACGGAAAAGTACATAGAAAGAGGAATTACGTAATCTCATGAAAGTCACATGACGATAAGCATTAGAAACGATTTCTCTTTCTTCGGGAAAAACTTCGTGCCGCAGGGTAAAGTTTTCCCGCGAACAATCCTCCACTTCGAGACTAAATCACGGCAACTTTTCTCTCATCGAATTTTCCTTCAAGGACAATTTTCTATCAGAGACAAAGGCAAACGGAGACCGCTACGCCCGCCATGCTTTCGCGAGGATCACGTTTCGCGTATCCTCTGTCAATGGCTAGATCGGTCGAGGCCGAAAATGGAGTCCTCGCGGACGGATTCGCCGGCTTCGGGAAGAGCGAAGGGCCGAATCTCGCTTCTTTTCGCGTTGCCGGATGACAATCGAATTTGGGATTCCCCACGCCGCCGTCCGTGGGGCACGCACGAGCAACGCATACCGGCCGCGCACTATTTCCGTCAGGACGAGGAGCCGGCAGAATCCTCAAGGGTCGTCCCGGCGGCACCGCACTGGCGCGACCGTCGGGGGCGATGCATCGCCCGCCGCTTCGATTTTCCGCGGTCGTCTGCGACTGTGCAACGTGAACGATTTTGCGCCAGCATACGCTTCCCCGTCGCCTAACGGGGTATGCATGCGCGAGGAAAGGCTCGCGAGTCCGTCTTTCCTGTACCTCGGCTATTTTAAAAGCGGTTTCGATTCAGCCCTTTAACCACCCTTTCCTCACACTCGCCCGAGCATGCTCAGATATCATATCTTCGCGCAAGTATAGAAGATACAAGGTGTCCAATAAGAAGTACAGAAATATAAGTAATATTTTTATAAAAACGCACGCGCATTTCACTTTGTTGTTTTTTCATTTAGCTGTAAATTTGAAAAAAAAATATAGTGAGAGAAATTTAACACAATAATTTTCTTGCAAAAATATTTGGCAGAATGTAATAAAGTATCAGAAAGTATCAAAAGAATTTAGAATGTCTGCGTATTTGCGAATTTACTGAACAATTGTTATACGTATAATTGTGCAAATATCTCTTGGCATTGAACATAATTATCCATTGTATTAACTGATACTTTTCTAATTAAACAAATGTCAAAAGTATATTTTAAAAATAATTATTTTATCATATTATATAATTTTTGCGAGATTGTAAAGGGGAAATATGATGGAAAATATTTTCCGTAAGATAATCAATTTTCTTGCAACAATTTTTTGGTTTTTGCGAGACACCCTGTATATTTACTTTACTGAACCGATTGTCATAATTTCAGTTAGAACGGAATAATCCGCGACATAAAAGAAAATGAGCGTTTGATTTACGATTTGACAAGAGCCGTGCGTCTGTCGTTTCGACGACAGGTCGAGGTTTCGGGGGATGATGAAACGGCGAGCGCACTTTGCTCACCGTCCTCGTGGCAGGTTGACGCCTGTAAAGATGCCTCACGAATAGTCGAAGCATAATGATTTGGAACGTCGGACTGTTATAGAACGGCCTAGGCACATTGTCAAAAACATAGGGCCAATATATTCTCTCTCTCTCTCGCGCACGCGCACCCTCCGCGCAATTTAATCTATTACCAATCTACTGTCCGACTGGATCCGTTACTGATAATGAGAGAAAAGAGGCTATACAAACCCCTTCAAGCTCAACGGGAATAACGTATGCATGACCCGGTAATTTAACTAGTTATCGCATCTCGAGGTGCGAGACGCAAGCAAAGTTCTTCGAACCGATATAAGACTTTGCCTTAGACTTTGCCTGCGAGTTATTATGAAAAATGAATCATTACGTCCATTACTTTTTCCTTATATATACATGTTTGATATAGCAGCGTCACTAATTACTGTCTAATAAGTGTTGATTAAGCATTAGTAATACGCGATTAAGCGAGGCATTAGTTATACTAATAATATGTAATCGTTTTTTTGTAAAAAAAGGGTTAAATTATCGAGTTGCTTGTCATTATAAAAAGTTCAATCTAATAAAATGCTAATAAAATGTAAACGCTAATAAAAAGTAAGTTATTATTACTAAACATATATGTATGTATAAAAATAGAATGAAATTAATATTATATAGTTATTAATAAAATAAAAAAAGCAACAAAATATAATATTAATGTTATATCGACACTTAATATATATACATATATTGTAATATATAACGTAGTTTCCAGACTTCCGAAGGTATAACACAAAAACCTAATAGAATGTTTTTTTCGTAAGACCTTGTAACTTGATCTTTAATTCTCGGACATGTGGTAAGCCACAAAAAATATGTTGTGACAATCTTTGGTAATGCTTACTAAACACGTGAAAGATTCGTGGATAGTTTTTTCTTCGCTTTCTTAGAAGATATATAAATAATCAGTTAGAGAAATGTGATACATTCCTATGATGCACAAGGCCATTATCCTCTCTTAACTCAACATGAGAAAAATATAAAAATGGTCTTAATGGCTAATAGAATTCTATTATAAACATCAATTTCTCTACGTTAATTAAAATTTTAGTTAAATCTCGAATGTCCAAATAGATCAAACTAAATTAAATAAATGTTAATATTTATAATAGAACAGACAAAAATGGCAGAAACGAGAAATGTCTTAATAGAGAAATATATGCTAATAAATTTTTCATTGTAGAACAAATAATTTATATATCTTCAAAAATTAAATTTTAAAAAGGTGTGTTAACCGTTTAGCACGCCAATTTATATATAGATCTTACAACTTGTTTCAAGGAGTTCAATATTCGATGCTATCGATATTCGATACAAGTATATTAAAAAAAAAAAACAGAATGCAGGCGATTAATTGCAGTTTAGAATTGATAACGCTTGAAAATCTTGAAACAATCTTCGGATGATGTGACATTGACATAAGAAATTATTTGACAAACATGATTTTTATAGTCATCGTAAAGCTAAAAGTGGTTATAATACGACTTCCCCGAACGTCTGTGCTTGACGAAAATATTAACACTGAGAAATCAGCTTAGAAACTATACACTTGTCCTTCTAACAAGCTTACGTAAGACATTACGTGAATAATTTAGTACGTTAATCCATTAATAAAAAAAATATGTTATATTTTAATACGAGACGCATTTAAAATCTATTTAGATTTAACTTCTAACTGAATTTCTCGGGATTTAAGTTTATTAATAATTATATGGAGAAATAAATAAACAGCAAATAAAGCGATTTATCTATTTCTACCTTATTTCTATCTCGAAATAAATTCGCTTCTCACACCGGTAAGCAGATTGTTTCTGACCACGAAAAAAAACGCAAATAAATTTTCAAAAATATGTTTGAAAATATTTTTTCACATCGGTATGCCCAATCTCTCTCCACGAAGATCGGTCAAGGAATTTCTTTCAAGCTCTATATGTACATTACGATACGTTGCAGACAGCACGTACATATATTTCTGATAAACGAGCACCAGATTAAGTGTCAAGTTCACGAACTGGTATGACATGGTACGCGATAGCCGGTAGCGAATATGTAGCATTGACTTCAACTGTACCGTACTATCGATTAGTGTGCGTGCAATGAAAATATTATGTAATTCTTGTGACGCACAGTACCTTATCGGAATTAATACGCATGCCAATTTTTGCTCGTGCTCGAAAAACGAAAAAAGTACGAAACGAGCGATATCGAAATATGTAGCTAAAAAAAATATATATATATATATATCATGAGAATACACGCTAGAGTATTAGTATTGTAATCTATCTGTGTAAGATCTATGTCAAATATGCTCAATGAATCATGCGAGGCAGAGACCCCCCTATCTGCCAATTGTATTGCATCGCGCGAAACGCTCGCCGTCAATTAATCCCGTACAGATTTTCCGTGCAACGCGGTTAAGGATATCGATCGAATTTAAAACCACTGTGTTACCGGAAGCATCTCGACGTGATCAATTGAAGGTTGCCTTGCTGCAACAGCGGGCTAACCCACATTTTGCGGGAAAACGAAGAGAATAAACTCTAAAATTAAAATAATGGAAAAATCTATCCATTTTTAATCTCGTTGAGGACGTTGTAGGTTAGCCCATTGTTGCATCTCGTCAATAATGGATGAGAAAAATTTCCATGGCCGGATGAGAACAGCGGCTCGTTGAAAATGTCAATCGCTCGAATCAGATCGATTGATACGCGTGGATGGAAGAGTCATAAAGTTAATAAAAATTAAATACATTTTTTTAACACTCAAGCAACACGGAGTTGCTACGCGGCTAAGACACTGATTTCTTCCTTTAAATATTTATTTTACATAAAAGGAGAACTTTTTCCTCGAACGAGTTGCGCAACAGAAAACTCGGTGTATCGTCTGATGCATCTCTCAATTTCCTTTCTGTAATTTTCGAGGCGTTACGTCTTTTGTGAGTAGAGTTGTATCAGTAATACTATTATAATACTAGAATTGGCAAATTGTCCAAAAAGTTCTTTGACCTTTCAAGGTACAAGAACGAGATTAACGAGAAAAGAGCGGCCAGAGACAAATTGCTTTCCGGTGCGAGGGGCGTTAAATAGCCGATATTTGCCGCGATGTTTGACGCTTAAGAGACCGTAAAATAACTATTCTGGAGCAAAACAGGCGATGGTGTGACGAACGGAGACCGTAAATGAGGCGGACGGTATCGACAGGTAAAAATAGCGCGTAAGGTCCAAATGCGTTCTGCGAAACACCGCACGCGCTATTCTCTTGGGGCAGGTCTATTATTAACAATCCTAGACGCTTGTACCTTCGGCAATTTCGCGAGTTCGGCAATGAACGAGCTCCTGGCTGTCGCGGGCGCGCGTCGCAAGACGGACTTACTGCAAATTTTATGGCAGATTCTAAGATTATGCTGGGAAAGGTCTATTATTAACATTTCCAGACGCTGCATCTTCAGCTGTTTAATGAGCAACGAATGCTCTTGACAATACAAGGTGTCGCAGATCGACTCGCTGTAAATTTTGTAGGAGGCTTTTATAACCGATTTGAAGTTGATTTCTTTTGGAATAAAAAATATTGGAAAACTAAAGATTTCAATTATAAGAATTACAATTTACAAGTGCTGTTATTAATTTATTGGTTATGTATAAATAACCTCTGAGACAGCTCAGCATATACTTCCGGCAACATTTACGATCTTGCACACGTTTCACTGTTTTTACAAAACTGTAATAATTCATCTCTTCTTCCGAGATTAAGCTAATTTCCCGCTTAATTTAACAAGATTACTCTACGGTCGTTGGTGTAAAAACGCCTTCCTTTCTGAGGAAGAAACGTAAAGCAAATAGAAAGAATTAATTAGCGAGAGACAAGGGGAACGTTCATTGTTTTCAGACAGAACACACTCGACGTAGAATCATGAATTCTTCGTCGTGGACATGAAGAACGACGGGCGCTACGAGACGACGCGGCTGTCCCGATGGAATCACGTGCGGTACTTCAAGCTTGAAAGACTCGGTCGGTTGTGCAAGATCGAGCCGAAAATGCC